ACACAACACTCCAATCAAAACACGCATTCTCATTGGTTGAAACGTGAGTTTCGTGACATCACAGATGTCCTAATTTATCGGGATATTCCGGACTGCTAATCCCAAACCAATTACAGCTGCTACACTGTGACGACAAAAAGAAACACAAGCTTACAAGAGCGGCTACACTTTGCCTCATCTGATAGCTTTGTTATGCAAACCGTGTCTACACTCGAACAAACCTTGCTCCAAATTGTTTATCATGTAGTTAGTGATATTTTGGTGGGTGACGCGACACTTATTTCCTTTTTCTAGAATCCCCGTGACATTATTTTCATGTGCGATCTTCATCTTCAAATCCCAAGTAACATCGTCGACATTATTAGAAAGGTAACAAATGCTTATGAGCTAATTATTATGGTTGTCGGTTTCTTTTCGGCTACGAGGATTGATCGAGGTCATGATTTGCTAAGCAACATCACGTTAAGTGACTTCATCAAGCTGACATGACGGTGCAATTTCTGATTAACAAAAAAATGGTTAGAAACTGTTGTGTAAATGTTTTGGAAAGGGTAACTGACTAGTATTTGTTTTTGCAGCACTGTGTTCAAGGAAAGATGGCATTTGCACCGATTGTTGCTCGACTTCATTGTGGTTTCTCGCCGTCGCTTCCCTTCGGTAAAGTTGTTGTCTTGCAATTTTTATATATTACAACAGATAATGCATGGAACGCCCCATGGGTGGACTTGGGTGAAATACCCCGAGGTCGGCCTTGGCTTAACCGAGCCCAGTTATCTAACTGCGCCTTTCCTTGTAATTTATCTTTGCTGCCATAGGTTTTTGGGAGCTTCAAGGTTACGGGCTGTTCGCCATGTATAAGTCAGATTTCACTCGAGTTGGTGGAATGAACTACAAGGAATTCAGGACCACGTGGGGAGGAGAAGACTGGGAACTATTGGACAGGTAGGATAGAAACGTATATGAAGTAAAGTAAGGTCAATTTGCAAGCACGGGGCTAGTGATATATTGTCGTCGAGTAAATATAGAATGCTTTCATTACGTAAGTAGGATGTTACAGATAAAACAATAAAACTCTTAGCACAGTAACATATTAGATCCTTTGAGTTCCTCACAAATCCTTCTTCTAGATCCTAAAATCTATTTAACCCTTTGAATACCAAACTTTAGCCAAAAAATACCGTTTTTAACCGTTTAGTCAGGTTTTTTAGCTGCCATGACGCTAAATAAACCTAAGTTTTGCTAAGAAAGCTTTTTTTTTGCTAAAAGGAGAGATTTTTCGAGGATTAGGCACAAAATTGAGCAAAATTTCAATTCCGGGCATACGCATGAGCCAAAATTTGGACTTTT